TCCTGCAGTCTCCTCTCTTCGGCGTCTCCCATCCTTCTTCAACCTCGATCTCTCTGTTTCTCTCTCCTCCCATTGTTTTTCCTCACTTTCTCTCTCTAGATCTCGCCGCCAAAATTTTGAACACGAAGGCAAGAGGGAAAACGAGGGTTTTAGGGCAAAAGGGATGCGAGAGGGGGTTTTTATAGAAAAATGCCATGGCTTCTCTGCGAAGATGCTGGCAGATTCAATCGTGCGGTGGAAGCTTCTCCTGTGTGCCACGTGGCAGCACGCGGATCGATGTTCGAAAAGTTTGAGAGGGCGGGAATTTGGGCGGCGAGTTGGCGGGAAAATTTCGAGGCCGTGAGTTTTGTGAATATCGATTGTTTAAGGGGGTTTCTTGAATAATCGGGGGGTTGCGGAAAGGGACGCTGACAGGTGGGCGTGCGGGGTCCAGCGACCCGAGAATTGACATTGGATTCACCCGGGCGAGGAAAATGGGCGGAGACTGCAGCATTGGATTCTGCTGGCGTCTGACGGGTGGGGACCACTTTCGTGACGTCAGCGTCTGTAGAGCACAGTTGAATAGTACCGTTTGAGGCTAATGATGTTTTTTTATACAACAAGGCTTGGGGTCTTAAGAGTAAGTTTGGGCCCTTGAAGATTAGCCCAAATTGTTTGTTGAACTTAGATCGCTTAATGTAACTAGGCTGAACTTCGCTTAAATGCCACAAAGTTTTTCCGCTCCGTCATTTATATACCACAATTTGTATTTTATTGTAGAAATATTTTATGGTAGCAAAATACTATAAGTTATTAAAAATTATCAAAAAATTACCACTCAGTACCATCAATTATCTAAACATTAAAATTTTTGTTGGAATGTTTATATACTTGCATACTAAATTTTAAGCTTTTTAAATTTTCAATATTTGTTAAATTTACTTTTAAATCAACCAAAAGTCTTTTTCAAACTTGTCTTAATTCTAATTTGAAATAGGGATGTGATGTGTTTAACGATGAATTTCATAAATATTAATGGTTAGAAAGTTGTAAATTAACATGTTAGTGCCAAATGTAAACATTCAAGTGAAAATTTTCACGTTTGCATAATGGTTGGTAATAACATGCCAATGTTTTAACAACTTATGATATTTTTCTGTCACAAGATACAACTTGTGGTATATGAGTGATACACCGGGCAAACTTTTGTGGTTTCAAGCGCAATTTAGCCATGTTTATATTTGGGCCTTCAAGATATCAGAGTCGTATTAGCACAAGTTTAAACTTGACATGCATCATATACAAATCATTAGAGTAATAATCATCAGCCTGCAGACTGATTGAACACATGTATAATCGACATCAATAACAAAAAGATTGTACAAAAACAAATCAACAAATTTTTTACTAAAGTATGTTTAAAACCTTGCAAGAGGTAGGATATTAAAATTCCGTAACCTCTCCTGTAATTGAGAGGAAATGGCGTAACAATTAACAATCTGCCTCAAGTAAACCAGGAAATGAACCGTCACAAAGAGCAACACAAAACAGACTGAAGGGTCTAATGCTTGGAAACGAAGAGGTGGGGTTTGGTAATTGATTGATGTGAACATAAAGCGGAAGATGACAATTTGGTTAGCTGAGAGGATTCAATCCCCAGAGATCGGTCTCCGACCAAAGAAGTAATTTTGCATGAAGGGTCAGTTCAGTTCTTTCAGCAAAACGAAAAAGGGAAAGAAAAAAAAAATACTGCTCCACTTTAAGATAATACAAAAAGAATCAAAACAACAAAATCATAAAATGATCGAACGGCAGAGAGATTGGAAGGTACACGTAGTTCGAAATTGAACAGTGCCCTTCACAGCCTGCAACTCTGTCCAAAAAAACAGGAACTTCAACAACAAGGGCATCAGCATCTGCAACTCGTACACGTTTTAATTTTACCGAGAAGCTGTAGAAGAAATAACCAAGGGACCGTTATGTTAAGCTGTAAGAGTAAACCCATGCCTTTACCTTCAATGGGTTCTCAACACCCCCCTCAACTAATTTATTTGCACAAACTGTAGAAGTGACGAACACGGCGAAGAACAGCTTAAGAAACAAGCAAGAAACTGTCAGGCAGCTGCCTGGTCGGTCGATCGCGAGTCAGCTGCGGTCGATCGGAAACATGCACGAGGCCTGAGTTGTTCTTCGCCGTGTTCGTCACTTCTACAAATGCTTATCTCGTTCTTGTTCGTGCATTTTCGTGTGATTTTAGTTCCGCTGCGCACAACACAAACTTCTCCCAATTAATAAGAGAGAGAGAGAGAGAGGCAGATTTAACCTTCTTAAACGAGTTGAGGGGGTACAGATCATGGTGGTTATTTGCTACAATAACCTTTTTTAGTGTCCCAGTATGTAGGGAATAAAACATTTAGAACTGCTGCTAACTTTAAATAAATGAAGAGGACAGGAGTATGCTCAGTTTAAATATCATCCAAGAACCACCAAGTATTGCATGCTCTCTTAAGACGCCTCACGAATAAAGTACGTCTGAAACTGTTAAAATAACCTCCTGCACTCCTTAATTTCTCTGAGAAACTGTAAAAGAAATAACAAAGAAACTGTCAAAAGAGTATAAAGATTATCCCTCAATGCTCATCACAATTTCGGAGGTTTCCATAAATATACCCAAGAAAACTAATAGTAACAGATCATTTCAATCTCAAATGAATGCATGCGCCATAAAAACTCATAAAAATTTGCGGTACATACTACTATATGGCAAGAAACTTTTGTGGCTTCCCAAAGCTTTAAAAGCAGCATGCTTAAAACCTTGCTATCAGGACCCAACAACAAGGATCCATCTTACTTTTGATCTTATTATTATTTCAGCATTCATGGAGAAAGTTGATGGAGTAGGGGCCAATGCTGATTGGCTCAATGAATCATGTGAAGAACTCATAAGAGAGCTCCTAGAAAACAACTCACCATCCACGACGGAAGTTGAGATCGATGCTGATAGGCTCAATGAATCATGTGCAGAACTCATGAAAGAGCTCCTTGATAACGACTCTCCGTTGGCGGAGGAAGTTGAGACTGACGCTGATTGGCTCGATGAATCATGTGAAGAACTCATACGAGAGCTCCTAGATGATGACTCTACCTTCGTTGTCTCAAACCCAGTAACAGATAACGGCATAACAAATGTTCATGCCGCTACGGCAAAGAATCTTCATTCTTCAGCCTACACTGGTCCTACCATCAGTGATATTGAAAATGCACTGGCCGCTACATTTCAAAGAAATCAGAGTAACACGTATTTTCAAAATCTAGCCTCTTTCCTATGAGAAACTTCGTGGATTTGGCATCCAAGTCTTTTGTTTTTTCTTGGTGATGCAGAGCTTCATTAGCTGAGAAGGTAATGCAGAGGATTGAGGAGAACACAGAAACTGCAAAGGATTGTGACCGATGCAGAGCTTCATTATTTGAGAAGATAATGCAGAAGATAGAGCAGAACACAGTAACTGCAAATAATTGTGAAAAAGGGGTTCCAGATGATGGCTACCGGTGGTGGAAGTATGGTCAGAAATCAATCAAGGAACGTCCTAACCCAAGGTCCGTTCTTATGCCTATATCATGTTTTTCCTTTTCATTACAAGTGATGAGGCATTAGTAAAATTTTCATCTATTAATTAAAATGCTCTTATAGTTTAAAAATTAGAACCAACGGGATTAGGAGGGATCGGTCCTGGCCTAAAAGTTAGCATTAATTTTACCCATAGTCACAGTCTATAAAGTTGAAGGACTTCTTTGCTTGAAGATGGCTCATATCAAGGGTCAGTTGCTGTGGTAGAGATTGAAGACATCTATTAGGATTTTATTTTTCCGACCTGCGTCGTTTTAACTTGTACGACTTCATCAACCAAGGCACAAACCAATTTCTGAGTTTCTGATCAATTACTGTAGAGGCGGGTGGCTGTGAAAACCTTAGTTGAACTGTGAACACCTATTACGGAGTGAAGCCCGTATGAATTGCTTTTCTTTCCTAATCCCATACAAAAACACAAATCATCTTTTCTCCCGCGCAAACCCTATTACCCACCCAAATTTGTGCACTATGTTTTGGTATCAGAGTGAACAGATCCACCAGAAGATTTCAGATCCACAAACCTCAGATTGCCGTATTACTTGCGATTTCTTTAGTACCTGTGACTTCTGCAGTACCTATGATTGCTATGGCCTACAGCAATACCTAATTTGCATAGAATTGGTCTTTGCACCACGGTTACAGCTGTTTTCCTGCAGTTACATGTAATAAACCAAATTTCAGTCTTTTCTTTAATTTTTGCGTCATATTTATTTCACTACCCCTTTATTACCTCAATATGCCAACATCAGGGAGAGCAGATTCAAACAACTTGTATGACATTTTTTTTTTTTTGACTTCCACCTATATGTCAGTTGCATTCTCTCACTGCGGTCATAAGAATATGTAATTTTTGCCTGGTACGCACTGAACACACAAAAAAATTTGCAGTCATAAAAACAGTACGTGTTCGTGTACATGTAGCTATCAACTAATGTCTAACTACATAGCATAATTGCACTGTTTTGTCACTTTCATTAGGCGAGAAAGATAAATATATTGTCCATAGTCAAGGAACTCCAAAACATACATGTCTCTAAGATAATACATTTAACGTTTTGCACTCCCATCCTGCTAGTAAAGAAATCCGACTGATAATATCCTTCAGCATAATCTGCGTGACTTCTTGTCTACGGATCCAGTAAATAACATTCAGGAAATCTCAAGGTATCTGCTGTACTCTGATAAATCCTACTTAGAACACAATCAGGGGGCGAAAAATTGACTTTAGGGAGTTAAGTGCTACGAAGTTATAGTCTTATGGATGAGGGTGGTTAACTGCAACTTATCTAGAAAAATAACATACCCAACTATAGTTTTCGTGGTACATAAGGAATAGAACATTTGAAAATGCTGCTAACTTAAACAAATGAAAAGGGATATACTACGCTCACCTCTTAAATATCATCCAAGAATTAGACTTCATCTGATTGGAATAGCCAAACTAGCCAAATTAGACATCAGCTTGGTCCTGGTTGGAATAGCCAAACTAGACATTTTGTGGAATTAGACTCTCCGGTTTGGACATCAATGAAGAAGGGGATGTTTCACCTTCTTTGACAAAAAAAATGTAATTATAAGCAGCTCAATTACGGTCGTTAAGATGGTCTCCTGTCAACAATACATCCTATTATCCTACAGATTACCTTTTAAACTTCAAGCTCCTAGCCACAATATATATGGTACTTCTCACATAGTGGTCTACAAGTTATGGTGTTCCCAATTACAATAAGATGAGGTTCTCACTTTTCATCAGTGCTCTCTAATAAAATCTTATCTATATAGGAGTTATTACCGGTGCGCCCAACCTCGATGCCATGCCAAGAAGCAAGTGGAGAAATCCACAAAAGATCCAGAAGCACTCATTATCACATATGAAGGCATCCATTCTCACCATGCCCAGTCCAGTTTCATACCCCCCACGTCAATAGTCGGTGAGGGGCAAGCGAAAGAAGCTTTCAGAAGATGTTACTGAGTTCTGATGTCAGAGATAATAATCAACAAATCCAATAAAAGCTATTAGAGGTTTCACCCCCTGATGCATGTTAAGAAGCCTTAGATCAACAACAGGTTTGGAATCTTTGGATAATCTTGTTGCACCTCTCGGGCATCTTTGTTTCTCCTACTCTGATCTAGCATAATGCGACAGTGCTTATCGTGAATATATTAATTCTCCAATAAACTAGGATAAGCGCTGAAGTGTATGTGAATGCAAATAATTGAGAATAACACTGTGGAATGTCGATAACTAAATGTTCGTGTTCATATGTAGACTCGGTCATGGTGTATGCATTTTAGACTACGTATGATGTGTTCAGCAACCATTCTTCGACTATCGCATATCTGAAAATTGAACATTGGTTCTTATCCTTGTCGAAGCTTCCTTCCAATATAAATTTCATGATAGAATAATAAAATGTTAGGATTGGTTTTCATGCAAGTAAAAATAATCCAAGAACATGCATTTCTAAACATATAACACACTTTGGTCGAATGGACATGAAACGAGCTACCTAGATATGCACCAAGGTCAAAACCGCCATTAAAAGCAAGCTAAGGGCGCGTTTGGTTTCAAAAGAAGTTTGATGAAAGCCTGACAAAAACAGTACAAAAGCTACTGTTTTTGTCAGCTTTTAACCAAAAACGCCCCTTAAAATGGCGTTTTTGGTTGAAATTCTGACAATTTGTCAGGCTTTCACAAGCATTTTTTTGAAACCAAACGGACCCTAAGCTTCACGGGTCTCGGATCCGCTTTCAAGCTTTCAACATAGAAAGGCTAATTTCATTGCTAAAATCATCAAAAAAAAAGGGTGGGAAATGCAATCTCTAACGTGCGAATCGAAGGAGAGGAAGCTTGAAAGAGGATTCCGCAGCAGATCCAAGGCGAGTGGAGATCCGGGCTCATTCTCTCTCTCTCAATTGCTGGAATCAATGGGGATACCAGTGACTCGAGATCAAGTGGGGGGCTAAAACCCCAGCGAGGGTTTTGTTCAATTATTAGATCGGATCCGAGATCTTGATCCGACCCGTTAACTTTCGTCTTGCGAATTAAAACTAAACACGTGTCCTGGTTATACTGTGGTCAAATAAATAACGGTTGAAAAACTATTTCTCCTATTTTTAAACCCACCCGTTAAAACCACGCTCATACTCATA